ATGGAAGACAATCTTCAAATCTCACAAAAACTAAAAGTAATGTATCAAATCTCTCTCTCACGTGTTCTCTCTGTTAGTTCGATGAAAAACGGCGTGTCCCTTTAGGTCTGGGGCGGCTAGGATTTATATGGGAAACTCTCGGTGGTGAAAATAGGTTTAATGAAAATTTCCAAAAGTGGATCTTCTGCGGAGCAGGTCAGCCGATCGGGAGCGGGTGCTCCTTAACTTCAGAATCTTCAAAAAAATATCCTATTTCCCTCCTTTTTTGCCAAGCCTCCTTGCAAGTTCCAATCCTCTATTCCAGCCACTTTTAGACCTAGAAAGACTCAATATAGAATGAAAGACTCAATAAAAACCTACAAAACAAGGGTTAGAATTCGCCAAAAACGCATTATATCAGAAGAACGTTAACTTGAATCTTCCACGACGTCTTGAATGGCTTCACATCTCCAAGATGAGTGATAGATGTCTGTAAAGCCATTTTAACGAATAGAAGGGTTTGTGAATGAATAAAAGAGAAGAAAGCTCAAGGTATTTATAAGAAAATATCATAGAGATGAATAGGTTTAGATCTATTGGAGAATATTCTGTCAAGTTTTATTTTTGGTACAGAAAATAATCGATTTTTATTTTGACTTAAAACAAATATTTTTCTTTTATTTTTTTTGTCATCCGAAGAATATATAAAAAAGATACGAATCATTAGAATTATTGCTAAGAGTAAATCTTGGTAAAGAAAAGATTTAGAAAAGATCATAACAACAAATAAATAAGGTAAGATTCATTAAGACTTGATATCAAAGATTTTACCTCACACCCAAATCGAAACCCACAAATTTCTCCTCAATTCTCTTCGATGTAAATCTGATAAGGAAAAAGATATACCGTAGTGAATGAATTAAAAAAAGATGGAAAATTAATATCGATTTGGCATTTAATCATGCCACGATTTTGCAAATATGTTGATTTGATTCCAACTCAGAAGATTTAATATTATATGATATGAAACTTTTCCTGATTCAACACGAATTTTAAAGAATCCAAAAACCAACAGATATGGTGGTTGTCTTGCAAATTGCAATAAAACACACACAAATTTTCTAAATAAGAAAAAAAAAACATCTTTCATTCTTATAACACTAACCTATGACATGAGGATGATACTCTATGTTTGCTTGCCACCACCAATTTTCTTCACGGCATATATATGCGCCTCCCGTATTAAAGACATGACATATACCACACCAATCTTTACCCTCCGCTTCTCAAAATTGTACACAGATTGAGATGCGTTATTGAAGCAAACAAATAAGCGACAACAAAAATCACAGAAAGATAGAGAGATTAAGGAGTCGCACCTTTTTCAAACCATGAAAATGATGGGATATCGACTTTTTTAGATCTTTCTAGAAACCTGCAAAATCATCTTATTTGCAAAATCAACATATATGCAAAAAAACATCTCGTATATGCAAATCAACATAGAGGAATGCGTCTTGTAAATCAACATATTTGCAAAATCAACATATATGCAACTCTCTCTCTCGTATATACAAATCAACATATTTGCAAAATCAACATATATGCAAATGTTCACTTGAGTAACAGTCTTGCCATGTGCGTAGTGAAGGAGACCAGAGGAATGCGTCTTCTCGTAGTGAAGCTTATACTTCCCTTCCGGTGTCTTGAAATAAGTTTTAATCCCCGGCGACTGAGAATTCGCCGCCGGTGAATTCGATGAAGATGGAGCCGATATCATTCCAGACAAAGTA